ACTAGCTATGTATGTATGCACTGTATGTATGCCCACTCATCTACTATCACCTGGTTGCTTTTATACTCTCTAAAGCCTCTTTATTATTATCATTATTATTATTATTATTATTAGTAGGGTTTATATTTGTGCTTTTTTAATACAGTACATGGCCCATCTTGCATCGATCTGCTTGTTTCTTATTTAGGATGCTGCAGTTCCCTGGTTTAGTGCACAAACTCATAGAGATAAAATCCCTGTTGTGCTGGTCTGACTCTCCAGTGCCTCAGCCTCTCTGGGATTGGGTCTGTGTGAGTCAGGGACTGGGGGGTCAAAGGGCAGGCAGGGGGAACTTCTGTAGCTGCATGCAGTGTGTAATGATGATGCTTCATGGCTTCTAGTCTCTCCACAGGTAATACATCATCTTACAATCATTTTGATTTTGTTTTCTATAATAACTGTTACTGATGGGTTTTTATTTCATTTTACTGGGAATTCTGCTTTGGGGTAGTCTTGTTTTCTGAGTGACGTGGCAGGGAATTGTCTTTCTCTTTTGAAGCTTCTTTGACAAACAGCTTATTTTCTTCTGCTTTAAAAAAATAATTTTCCCTCTTTGAATCACTTGCTCTTTGTGTGTTTATTTGAGTGTGGAGTATATGTCTAAAGTAGTTTCATTCACCAACGGTCATTCTCTGCCAAGCCTCCAGTGGAAAACACCAGAGAAACTGTCTGTCTCACTCTGCATCCTCTGGGACTTAGGGACTGTGTGATGAGTGTGTGATGAGTGTGTTATGAGTGTGTGATGAGTGTGTGTGTGTGTGTGTGTGTGTGTGTGTGTGGACGTGACCAGAAGTCGCCACAAGAATAGTAAACTAACAAAAATTTGACCAACTTGGGACATTTTATTAGTCCCCACGAGGTCAAATGCTATTTCTAGGGGGTTTAGGGTTAAGGTTAGAATTAGTGTTAGGGTTAGAATTACGTTAAGGGTTAGGGTTAGGAGCTAGGTTCAGTTTTAGGGTTAGGGTTAGGAGCTAGGGTTAGGTTTAGGTTTAGGTTTAGGTTTAGGGTTAGGGTTAGGGTAAGGGTAAGAGCACGGGTTAGGGTTAGGTTTAGGGTTAGGGGTTAGGGAAAATAGGATTTTGAATGGGACTGAATTGTGTGTCCCCACAAGGTTAGCTGTACAAGACTGTGTGTGTGTGTGTGTTTATTTATTTCCACTACCCCAAATTGTGTAATTATCTCTAAATAACAAACAATACACTCTTATAGAAAATCCATGGCAGTATCACATTGGGTAATCCAGTTTTCAAATCATGCCTATCAGCATACCACAGCTCACATCGACCTAGACATTACATGGAACTTCCACCAATCAATCTTTCTCTCAGAGCCAAGATGGAAACAAAATGGCTGTCTGCAGATTCAAGTCATTTCTATGACTGTGTGGGTATACACTGAGTGTACAAAACATTAGGACCACCTGCTCTTTCCATGACATAGACTGATCAGCTGAATCCAGGTGAAAGCTATGATCCCTTATTGATGTCACTTGTGAAATCCACTTCAATCAGTGTAGATGAAGGGGAGGAGACAGGTTAAAGAAGGATTTTTAAGCCTTGAGACAATTGAGACATGAATTGTGTATGTGTGCCATTGAGAGAGTGAATGGGAAAGACTAAATATTTAAGTGCCTTTGAATGGGGTATGGTAGTAGCTGCCAGGCGCACCGGTTTGAGAACTGCAATACTGCTGGGTTTTTCACACTCAACAGTTTCCCGTGTGTATCAAGAATGGTCCACCACCCAAAGGACATCCAGCCAACTTGACACAACTGTGGGAAGCATTGGAGTCAACATGGGCCAGTATCCCTGTGGAACACTTTTGACACCTTGTAGAGTCCATGCCCCAACAAATTGAGGCTGTTCTGAGGGCAAAAATGTGTGCAACTCAATATTAGGAAGATGTTCCTAATGTTTCTTACACTCAGTGTTTATTTGATTATATTTAATGAGCTTCACTGTCTATGAAAGCTTGACGTTACATACGGTAATTGTGGTTAGCTTTACAGTATATGACTATATAGGACTATTATGAACTTTACCCAGTACCAGGATATTCACCTGGGCGGTAGGTAGCCTAGCGGTTAGTAACCGAAAGGTTGCTAGATCAAATCCCCAAGCTGACAAGGTGAAAATCTGTCGATGTGCCCTTGAGCGAGGCAGTTAACCCTAATTGCGCCAGGGTCACCGTTGATAATGGCTGACCCTGGCCGTGACCCCACTCTCCGATGGTGTCTCAGGGGGAGTTGGGATATGCAGGTATATATTTGATGATATTTAATTAGCTTCACTGTCTATGAAAGCTTGGCGTTACATAAGGTAATTGTGATTAGTTTCACAGTATATAGGACTAAGAAAGGAAATAAACAGTTTTTGTACCAAAGAAAGAAAAGTGACAAGGAAATAAAACCTTGTGGGTATTTTCCTCGTATGACATACACTTCTGCTTTTTATTATCAGGGGAGAGGGGAGTTCGATGTTACACTTGAATACTTTGTGAAGAACCACAAATAACTCTTCAGTGGTACAGCACTCCATTGTATGAGCTTTTTTGAAAACTCCAACGAGGGGGCTCCCTATAAACATAAACCAAAGCATATAAACATAAAGACACAAGACCAAATGTGAGATAAACATTTTGGCATCTTTTCATTTTGGCATCTTTTGCCAACCAAGGGTCAATATCCCTAAATGACATTCCTCCAAACTAGTCAATTACACATGCCTTGTAATTTGTATCTAATTTCGAGGTCTAGATTGTTTATTCGAGCTTGATGATATGCCTGATATGCTGATGAGTTCAGCAGATTGCTTGTCCAGTCAACCATGTACTTATTTGCTGTTAATATATAGCAACTCTCATTTATAATGGCAACATTCGATCATAAATACAGTGAATTAATGCTAACGGCCATGATGCATTCTATACTAAAGACGTTGACATGCATGACTAGAAACACAGTAAAAAAAAAACAGTAATAGGATTACTTTTAATAACGTGCTTGAGTAAAACTTTACATACCAAAATACACTGTATGTCTCACAGAGCTACAGTACCAGTCAAAAGATTAGACACACCTACTCATTCCAGGGTTTTTCTTTATTTTTACTATTTTCTACATTGTAGAATAACAGTGAAGACATCAAAACTATGAAATAACACATATGGACTCATGTACTAACCAAAAAAGTGTTAAACAAATCCAAATATATTTTATATTTTAGATTCTTCAAAGTAGCCACCCTTTGCCTTGATGACAGCTTTGCACACTCTTAGCATTCTCTCTACCAGCTTCACCTGGAATGCTTTTCCAACAGTCTTGAAGTAGTTCCCACATATGCTTAGCACTTGTTGGCTGCTTTTCCTTCACTCTGCGGTCCGACTCATCCCAAACCATCTCAATTGGGTTGAGGTCGGGTGATTGTGGAGGCCAGGTCATCTGATGCAGCACTCCATCACTCTCCTTCTTGGTCAAATAGCCCTTACACAGCCTGGAGGTGTTTTGGGTCATTGTCCTGTTGAAAAACAAATGATATTCCCACAAAGCGCAAACCCGATGGGATGACGTATCGCTGCAGAATACTGTGGTAGCCACGCTGGTTAAGTGTGCCTTGAATTCTAAAAAAAAATCACCAGCAAAGCACCCCCACACCATCACACCTCCTTCTCCATGCTTCATGGTGGGAACCACAAATGCGGAGATCATCCGTTCACCTACTCTGCGTCTCACAAAGACACGGCGGTTGGAACCAAAAATCTCAAATTTGGACTCATCAGACCAAAGGACAGATTTCCAACTGTCTACTGTCCATTGCTCGTGTTTCTTGGCCCAAGCAAGTCTCTTCTTCTTATTGGTGAGCTTTAGTAGTGGTTTCTTTGCAGCAATTAGACCATGAAGGCCTGATTCACGTGGTCTCCTCTGAACAGTTGATGTTGAGATGTGTATGTTACTTGAACTCTGTGAAGCATTTATTTGGGCTGCAATTTCTGAGTCTGGTAACTCTAATGAACTTAACCTCTGCAGCAGAGGTAACTCTGGGTCTTCCTTTCCTGTGGCAGTCCTCATGAGAACCAGTTTCACTGAGTAAAGGGTCTGAATACTTAATTAAATGTAATATTTCTTATTTTTTATACATTTGCAAACATTTCTAAAAACCTGTTTTTGCTTTGTCATTATGGGATATTGTGTGTAGATTGATGAGGGAAAAAAACGATTTCATCTACTTTAGAATAAGGCTGTAACTTAACATAATGTGGAAAAAGTCAAGTGGTCTGAATACTTTCTGAATGGACTGTATGTACAGTTGGGCCCGAAATGATTGACACATTGATAAAGATTAGCAAAAATGACTGTATAAAATAAATAATCCAAATACTGAGCTACTGTACGTCTCACACAGCTATATGTATACAGTAGTATATTATAGACTACGTCCAGTATATCAATCTCATGTACTGTAACGATGAAACAAAAAAATGCATATTCTGTGCCAAGTCACTAAGTATGAATACACCAACTCTCCTTCTCTAAGTTTCAATTACTCTAAGAATATTTTTGTTGATTAACAGATTAACAGGCTATAGAACCTAAAAGTCCCACAAGGGCTTTTCTTCATTATGAATTCACAATCATATGTATACTTCTGGTGTAAAACCCAATGCTGAAAAAGAGAAGTGAAATACAGCCACGTCATAATGCAGAGAAAACATTACGCGTGGGACGAAACCCACTCACGTGTACACCTACCAAATATTTAACAATTAGATGTGAAAAAGATTACCAAGACTATCATTAGGGGGAGACCCTTGTCTGGGTCTCCCCCTAACTCTCCCTCTATAGTATAAAGACTGGTCCTCTGTACAACACAACAACACAGAGAATAAAGCTTTAGACCTGAAGTCACAACACTTTACTGGTCATTCACTCTCCACCCCACCTGGACCAACTCTAAGCCAACATGTTCACCACTCGTCTTGCTATGCTGTCTGCACTTGTTCTGGTACTGAGTGCCATCACATTTACCGAAGGTAAGAGACAACTAGAACGTTTGTGTGTGTGTGTGTGTGTGTGTGTGTGTGTGTGTGTGTGTGTGTGTGTGTGTGTGTGTGTGTGTGTGTGTGTGTGTGTGTGTGTGTGTGTGTGTGTGTGTCCCAAACTGACCCATAAGTGTGTGTTGTGTGTGTTGTCTAGGCCTGCGTATGGCAAGCGGACCGAAGAAGTGTTGTTTTACCTTTGCTGATCGTCAGATACCCAGAGGTAGAGTGGTGGGTTATGCCAAGACCAGCCAGCAGTGCTCCAACCCAGCCATTCTGTGAGTAACCTTACTGTTCTTTAGCTGTTTCTGTGTGAGAGTGGATATGTGGCAATGAGTGCTTGAGAGGTATTTATAAGTTAGTGTGATCCAAACACTCAAGGTACCACAGAAAAGTATTTGTGGTTCAGACTAGACACTCATGAAATGTCCAAAAAATGTGTTATGTTGTAAAAGTACAGGTGTCAGACAGACAGAGAACCATTGATTCAATCATGCTGTAACTGGGATAGTTACAGGACTGACAGGCAATGATTGGTATTATTGGTCCAAATCCTTGAAGAAAACAGTGTAAGAGACCACTCCACAAAGAGAGAGAGAGAGCTTCATCTCATCCTGTTGTATAACCCAGAATGTGTTCCTCTTTCCTGTGATCAACTTTCACTACCTAAATTTCACGTCGTCATGCATTTTCCTTTAAAAATGAGAACAAAAGTCCTCTGACATCATCATCTAAAACTAGGTTATAGATCTAACATAGATCTAAAACAGGATGTCATAAGTCATGAGTGAGCCTTGGATATCTTGTATGTGATTGTCCCAATGTGGTGTTGCTGATGTTATGCTGTGCTAATAACCCTGTTTTTCTATATCCAGGTTTAAGACTCAGGCGGGGCGACAGGTGTGTGCCAGGTCCTCAGACAGATGGGTGAAGGACTACATCAGCTTCCTGGACAGCAAGAAATCTGGGGAGCAGACACCACTCCTGTAACCTTCAGAGCCTCTTTTGTACCTCTCTTTCACAAGGATATGGCCAGTGATCTGCCTCAGAGACAGCAGTCATGGTCCTGAGCCAAAACACAACCTGGGTCTGGGGATATAGATAAGCTAGATGATCTCTATATAACTGTAACACTGTGAGCAGCCTGTATACCTTTCTCTTTACCATTTGACGCCTGTGATCAAATGACAGATAACTATTTGACAGAGAACGATTGTCAATATTTATTTTTTGAATTCTATTCAATACACACATCCGTAAAACACATAATTGTGTAGAATTACTTGTGCATAGTGATGATTAGATTAAATTAGAATTAGTTCCATAGAATGACCTAGGTTATGTTACATTTCAGTATGCTTGATTACTGAATTGCAGGCTATTGGCCTATATTCTGTTTTATTGCCTTCAATTCATTAAAATGCATGTGGATAAATCATTTGTTGGTTTCAAGGCCTCGCTCTCTGTTTTAATGCTTACCTGATTAAAAAGGACTGTAAAATATCTCTAAACCACACAGAATATACAGATGTGCTCAATTGTGTAAGTGTGTCTAACCGTCTCAGTGTGAAGAACATGACAGTGTCACTGGCCATCTCATTCTGGAGCTGATATATTATCTGCAAATGAACTCTAGTGGTGGATTTCTAACTATTGTATCAGTCATAGGCTCATAGTGTGTGAGTGTGTGTGTGTGTGTGTGTGTGTGTGTGTGTGTGTGTGTGTGTGTGTGTGTGTGTGTGTGTGCCATTGCTGAATCTCAACAGCATCTCCTGGCTGATCTGCGCAAATTGTGCGTAATAACAAAGTTACAATATTTCTATGGCTACAATCACCAAACCAAATGTGTGTAATATGTTACAATATTGCTATGGTTAATCACCAAAACAAATGTGCGTAAAACAATGTCACATTCCAAAAATGTGCATAGGCCAAATAAAAATGTTATAACAAACCATATAGGTATAGTCTACAATAAGCTACTTCTATGTGTGCTTAGTCCCCTCCTGTACTCCCTGTTCACCCATGACTGCGTGGCCAAGCACGACTCCAACACCATCATTAAGTTTGCAGACGACACAATGGTGGTAGGCCTGATCACTGATAACGATGAGACAGCCTATAGGGAGGAGGTCAGAGACCTGGCAGTGTGGTGCCTGGACACAACCTCTCTCTCAACGTGATCAAGACAAAGGAGATGATTGTGGACAACAGGAAAAGGAGGACCGAGTACACCCCCATTCTCATCGACGGGCCTGTAGTGGAGCAGGTTGAGAGCTTCAAGTTCCTTGGTGTCCACATCACCAACAAACTATTATGGTCCAAACACACCAAGAAAGTCGTGAAGAGGGCACGACAAAGCCTATTCCCCCTCAGGAGACTGAAACGATTTTGCATGGGTCCTCAGATCCTCAAAATGTTATACAGCTGCACCATTGAGAGCATCTTGACTGGTTGCATCACAGCCTGGTATGGCAACTGCTCAGCCTATGACCGCAAGGCACTACAGAGGGTAATGCATACGGCACAGTACATCACTGATGCCAAGCTTCCTGCCATCCAGGACTTCTATACCAGGCGGTGTCAGAGGAAGGCCCTAAAAATTGCCAAAGACTCCAGCCACCCTAGTCATAGACTGTTCTCTCTGCTACCGCACAGCAAGCGGTACCGGAGCGCAAAGTCTAGGTCCAAAAGGCTTCTTAACAGCTTCTACCCCCAAGCCATAAGACTACCCCCCGCTGCTACTCGCTGTTTATTACCAATGCATAGTCACTTTACCCCTACCTACATGCAGTGGCGACCCGTCATTCAGGGCAGAGCCCCACCTGTTTTGAGCCCCACATTCATAGCTTTTTGGGGGGCTTACCTGTTTTGCATGTTATTTTGGCATTAATACGTGTCACATATCAGTTTGCAAACAATGTATAAAAATAATAATAATAATTGAGTTAATAAAGCCACATACAAACATGGTCTCTTTTTTGCTTTCTTGAGTAAGGCAGGTCCAAAATGCAGGTGTTTCAGCTTAGCTCAGTGCTGTCTGTGGTGGTGGGGCAGCCAGCGGAAAATACAGAGCGTAGGTGTTGGTAATGTTCTCTAGTTGCACCATGATTAGCTCAGTGTTCTGTCACTCGTGGGGACAGTATGTCACCGCCAAGTCTAAGGGTAGAGCTCGAAAATTCAAGCCCCTTGGGTGCTACCATAGAGTTACGTTAGAAGTGCCCATCCAAGAAGTCACAAGGTCATTGGCCACAGATGAAATGACGTCAAAGCACGTTATATCTACAGTAGCTTTGATTGGACTGATCATGTCAACATCATACTTTCAAAATCTTAGCTAGCAGTCATCATCATGAATCAAGTAAATGAGGCTGAATGAACTGTTTCGCTGCCAGACAAGGCTCCGCTGATAGCCAGGTGTAGCAGTGGTAAGATGTTAGGACTGCTGTTAGGACAGCTTTATATAGGCCCTAACAGTTTGTGGGCACCGTTTGTCACAATTATAGTGAAATTAATGTATTGTTTAGTGTTGTGTTGTGTAGTGGCTTTGCTGGTGTAAAAATGGCCAGCTCATCTCCTTTCCAAGACGTCACACCAAGCATCATAATTTTATTAGCCAATCAGTAGCCTTTTTCCCCGTAATACCCGACCAGGCAGGGCCACAATTAGTATCATAGAGAGTGGCGTTGTATGTGTGTGTGTGGATCTTCATTAAACCCTTGAACTGGAACTACTGCTTCCTCGTGTTCTGAACGGACACCCTGTGGTGGTTGCTACCAGCATAATCCCAGCGCCTACGTTTTTTATCCCTTTTTATTGGTCCTTCGAATTCATAAACAACCCATATTTTTCATGGTCCTTACAAGCTGGATTCAGTAACTGCCAGAGTAATTCCCCATCGTCAGACTCGCCCCCCCACATCGTCTGGTCGACTATGAGGTAAGCTACGAGTCAAGGCAGACACCACACACAACAACACACCACTCCAACGAGGGACCACGAGCAGAGGGCACTGTGAGTGGAATTAATTACTCCCACAACAAGAACAGCAGCAGCTACCCTCCTGTACAAGATGAGAGAGAAACCCGTTCTTCTTCCAGAACAGTCGTAATGTGTCTGAAGCTGACAGGAGAGGAAACTGAGAAGTTGACACGGGAGATACTGGAGCTACCGTCATCATCTACTCAGTCAACCCCTCGACGTCGTGAGCCATCGCACCAGCGAGACCGGTCGACTTCTCATTGCAGAACTCGTAGCCCTACAGCGCCACCTAGAGGGCTGACTTCACAGGATCACCAACGTCAGCCCTCACCTAATTGCTGCGGTCAGCCTACACCTGATCGCTGTCATCAGCCTACACCTGACCGTTGCCGCCGCAACTACTCACTTGACCATTACGGTCAGCCTACACCTGATTGCCATCGTCAGCTGGCACCTGACTGTCGCCGTTGCGACTACTTACCTGACCGTTGCGACTACTCACCTGATCGCTACGGTCAGCCTACGCCTGATTGCCGTCGTAAACCCTCAACTGATTGCCATTGTCAGCCCACGCCTGACTGTCGCCGCCGCGACTACTCGCACGACCGTCGCCGCCGGGCCTACTCACCTGATTGTCGTCGGCAGTCACCTGTCCACTACCGCACACCTTCTCCACCCAGCCAGGAACACATCTACCGTGGACCAACTCCTACCATCCCCAACTTCATTAATAAAGACCCACGAGAGTTTGCAAGGCTGAAGGTGGCCCTCGACAATGTGCTGCCTGTAGATGCAACAGAGTGCTTCAAGTTTCAGATATTGATGGACCACCTGAAGTTGGAAGAGGCTTTGCTAACTGCCGACTCCTACAGCAACTGCAGGTATCCATACAATGCCACCATGGAGTCCCTCACAGAACTGTATGGCCAGCCCCACCAGCTTGCCCTCCAACGCATCGCAGGGTTAATGGAGGCCCCAACATCAAGAGTGGTGACACCAAGGCATTCCAAAGATTCACTCTGAGGGTGCGTGCCTTGGTTGGCATGTTGGATCAGCTAGGGAGTAATGGACAGACAGAACTGAGTTGTGGCTCACACGTCTCCCGCCTCTTAGCTAAGTTACCACACAACCTAAGAGCCAGCTTCAAGAGATGTGTGAACCCCATCAAGACACCTATTCCAACCCTCCTTCACCTGGCAGAGTGGCTCGAGTACGAGGTGAGAGTGCAAGTAGATGGCACGCAGTTCAGTAACGAACAAAGCAGGGACCACCCTAGCTCACGCCGAGATCAGTGTAAAGACAAATCCTTCTCCAAGACCATCACCATCCTCCACGGAGGTGAGCAGAGAAAGGACGAAGTCGGACTCTCTGCACAGAACCAGTCTCCGGAGGAAAGGTCACGGGAGAAGCCAAAGAAGTAATGTCCATTCTGCAACACCACGCAGCATTACATGAATCAATAAATCAACTTTCAGCTCCTTTCCAAATAACAGAAAGAATCCTGGATGAATCCAAATGAAAGATGTTGGAAGTGTGGACGCGAACACCAAGCAGCTCAGTGTACTCTCAAGGCTAAGTGCAAGAAGTGCGAGAAGAAGCATCTTGAGATTCTCCACAGGTCAAAACTAGCCCGACTGCTACAAAGAAAGCTAGCGCGAACGCTATGAAGACCGCCAGCACAAAGGCGTTAACAGAGAGCATTTGCCTGGTGAGCTCCACTGCAGAGACCCTCTATGCTGATCGACCTTCCGGCAGCAGCAAGGTGCTGCTGAAGATGAGTCAAGTCATCTTGCGGAGCGACACAAGTCACTTGACACGTACGCCCTGTTGGACGACGGGTCGAAGCACACTATACTTCTACACGAAGCAGCAGATCAGCTAGGCCTCCAAGGAAATCCCGAGGACTTGGCACTTTGTACGGTGCGTCAAGATATCAGAGTAATTCATGGAGCTTCTGTGTCATTCTCTGTAGCCCCAGCTACTCAGCCAAACAGGTCCTTTGACATCCA